ACAATTGCCTAATATTTGTATCACTGTAGCACTCAGTGTTCTTGAGCCTGCTCAGGACCTGGAAGGTCTCTTACAACAAAACTTAGTACTTGCCAATAAAAATCAGAGAATTTTAACTCTCTGATTTTTTTAAATTCTCCACACCCAGAGTGGCCTAGGTTGAAAGGAGCCCTAAAGATCATCTACTCCCAGTTCTTCTTCCACTAGATAAGGCTTCTCAGACCCCCATCCAGACTGGCCTTGGATACCACCAGGGATGGGTCTTCCACAGCTTCTCTAGACAGCACATTCATTCCAGTGCCTCACCACCCTCCCAGTAAAGAACCTCTTCCCAATATCTAATTTAAACTTGCTCTCTTTCAGTTTTTAGCCATCCCCTCTTTTTTAGTGTAAAAAGTCTCCCTCATCTTTCTTGTAGGCTCCCTTCCAGGTACTGGAAGGCGACAATTAGGTCATCTTGAAGTCTTCTATTTTCCACGCGAACAATCTGAAGAAGGCAAGACCAAAACCAAAACCAAAATCAAAATCCAAAACCAACAAACAAAAAAAAAACCACCACAAAACCAAGTTGAAAACTTTATAAAGTCTGTTTGTTACTTGATACCAAGTTTGTGGTTTTTTTTTCTTTCTTTTTTTTTTTTTTTGTTTTTCATTTTTTTTGTTTTTCTTTTTTGCCTGCATGTTGCTGTAGAGAGCCCTAGTACAAGATTAAGAAGAGAGTATGGTCACCTTCTTGGATGGCTCAGGGAGACAGCACTGGCCATAACAGGTGTTCTGGGAGAAGAGAGGCTGTGTTGAGCATCTGCTGCCCTTAAATAGATAACATCACAGGGATGAACAGGCTGATCCCAAAGGCTTGTGTCTGGGTAAGAAGCTTAAAACTGGGAAATATTATAAGTGACATCTGGTATGTTGTTTTTTATTTTACAAGTAGTTTTGCTCCAAGAAAAAGGAATCTGATCAATTATCCCAGTGTTCTTTTATGGACAGAAACAATCTATCAGTTATCATTACAACCTGATTTATTAACCTCACCCCCCAAGAATCCAGCCCATCTCTAACAGATTAGAGATGGGATCTTCTCATACTCAAACTCTTTTAGTCTGATCTTGTGAGGTTGTATTTTTCAAGGAGTAGCCAAGTTCTGTGTGTAATGTGTCTTTCAAACAATGCCTCTGAGACTGAGTTTCTGAGATTTTTTTTTAGAAAAAGTGAGTAGAATCTGCCTCTAAGCACTCAGGCTCTCTGTGGTCTCAAGAGATGTGCATTTGCATTTCTAGGCTACAGTGAAAGTAAGGCAAATATCTGGCTTTACACAAATTTGTAGTTATACTGCTTGTCTCCATGAGCACCTTTGCTATGTCATGCTTCAAATTTTGTGAGAAATAAGTTACATGATTGCATTCTTGGATTTACTGCTCCTGAATTTCCTCATAATGTTTATTTAGAGATATCAGTCTATGTGAAAGCTGTGTTCTGTTTCCTTACAGAAATACATATTTGAAATGAGAAATGCTTCAGAATCTTCTAAACCAAAGCAATGATAGTAGTAAACAGATGAGAAGACACTTCCTCAGTGTCTTATTTTTAGTTTTCATTTTTTATGTCCATAAAAGGTTTTCTTTGGTTGTAGATGAATGTAGATGAAGACAAAAAGAGGGAATAACTGGTTTAAAGTTGGAGCAGATTATATGACACAGGCTTTTAAAGAAGCAGAAGCTGCAAAATGAAAAGCAGATATTTGGAGGAATAGTGCATGCAACACTGATTCATAAAGGGTTTAATTTGTCAAATATTAGGTGGGGCTAAACTGCTTTCAGGGAATTGTTTGAGGTCTTTGCATTTTAGAAAAATTGGCAATACAATACAGTTTTTTTTTATTTCTGTGTCCATGACCTGAAGAAGTTTATACACACCAAATACGTAGATTGCCAATGCTATATAACAAATAGACATATAAAAAAGACCTTTAACATCTGTGGCATTTGTGTGTTTGCTAGGTTATTTTTTCAAGTGACAAATCATTCTGTCCATATTTTAAAAACTCCCAATTAAAAGAGTGCATTGATCCACATCAACCTATGAAAAATTTTTGGGATTTTGAAGATCTTTTTTATTATTGCCACATGCAAATAAACTTTTATAAAAAATGGAATTCAAAATATATTCTATATCCAGATATTTTTCAAAATCAGTATTATTTTTTGCAGAAATTTGATATTTTATCAAAAAATGAGAAATATTAGCATGACTAGAGATAACTTCTAAGGACCCTAAATATTTCCCAAAATCTGAACCATATCTGTAGATTTAAACTTGATGTTGCTAATCTACATTTAGGAAAAATGTAGTGAAAGATCAAATAATGGGGTCATTTAAAAATTAATTTTAATTTTCATTATCGTTTCTTTACTATCTATTTTTGCAAATTTTCTGGCACAAAAATTAGTTATGAGAAAGCATTACCAGCTGATTGAGTAGTAAATGAGAGACAAACATGACATGGCAATGGAAAAAGAACAGTTTTGTTGATTTTCACTCCAGGGTCTATATGAATATTTGGGTTTCTGAATTACATTGAAATGCTGCACAAAAGCATATAAAAATGGGCTCCTGTGGTCAGGAAGGTCAGCTTTGTTGTACAAAGACTTGTGCCTCTCTCAGACAGGCCTGGGGATCTGCAAACTGGAAAAGATTGAGTAATACCCTTAGCTCTACAAAGGAAATAATCTGTTATTTTGCTGTCTGAAATTGTTTTAACCTTGCTCTGCAAACAGACTTGAAACTTTTATAAAAGTAACTAACATCACAGCAGATTTTAGCTTTGAAGGAGATTTTAGTTTGTTAAGGAAAATAAGAGCTCACAGAGGTGGGGAAGGGAATAATTTTTGCTGTTTATCTCAGGTAGAAGAGGCCTAAAGGTGCACAATTGAGTAGGTGGGGATTTGACATATGCTCATTTGTCATTTCATGTGGGCTAGCTTTAGTCTCTAAAATATTTATTACTTAATCCAAAAAAAGTAATAATAGTAATGCTGTAACATTTCTCTGGCTGTGTTCCCTCTGCAGGGTAATTACTTGTGATGAGTGCCTGGGGGTATGCTGGTCCCAGCTTGAATCTTTGGCTGGAGAGAAAATGATGAAGATGGTTTTTACCTGAGCTCCAGACCCAGAGCTATTGTGGAAATATTTAATTGACAGAAATACTGTAATAAGATTTCAAATCTCAAACCCTTTAATTACAAGATTAATGGCTTTCAGGCTAGCAAAAGTAACTGAAATGTCACTTCTAGTTGTTTGTACACTCATTCATTCATTCACTTGGTTAACTAACTTGAGCCAGGTACAGCACTTCCAATAAAGCTAAAGTTGTAATTTCCTTTCTCTGTGGTTATAGTCCCTTTGAAAATGTACAGTGTAGGCTGGGAGTAATTCAGCTACCTCAAACACTGATACACAAAATGTTCTGTAGAAATACGAAGTCTATATATCAAAAAGGAGGGCACTATTTCTTAACAAGTATATTTTCCAAAAGCCTAAGTGAGACACAGGGAAAGGAAATGAAGGAATTCTGAGAATCTCTGACATATGACAGGTGAGTCCCATTTTGGTCTCTGGTTTGACAAGGTCTGAAGGAAACCCTTCATGTTCATTGATGCTTCTTTTTAAACCCTCAGGCAAAACTACAATTAATGGGTGAAAAAAAGAAATTTATAGTCTTTGTATGAAGAAGTACCCTCCAGAGCTAAAGATGGCACAGTCACTGTTTTACTTCATATCTCTAGGCTGTCCTCTTACACGGGGATAAATTAACATTTTGCTCCCACTAATGAGCAGACATATGCTTGTTTTAGAAAACCAGGCCACCATTACTCAGGTGTAAGCCCAGAATGACTTACACAAATGCATCTGTTAAACAACGTCCTTATTCTTTCCAGTTCTTTATTTGTTCCTTGTGGCAGTGTGTACGCGACATAATTGGGATCCTGCATAGTAGGAGCAGAATCCCATCTGTCTGAGGCATCTATAATTGGTTGCTGCCTCACAGTTTCAGAGAAGTAGCTCATCTGAATGATAACCTTTTCTTTCACCACTTAAAACTGTAGTAGGAGAATAAACAATAACTGTATCTGTATCATATCTTGAACAATAGGTTAGGAATTTCAGCACTGAAAATAACATCTTCAGGATAATTTTTACCCAGGTAAAAATATTAACAGGATTGGAAATACTCATTGTTGCGTGCTTTTACAGCATATACCTCACCAAGGCATAGGAATACCAGAGTGAATTTTCAATGGACATAGTTAATAGTATCCAACATGCTTCAGTGGCGCTACTCTGAAGAGCGGCCATAACTGTAATAGCACAATGGATATCATCAAGAGGATCAACAGAACATTTTAAGCATGAGCTCATGTCACATTCAGTCTCAAATTTGTATTGCATCCATGATCATATGCAGGTATGGGCGTTATGAAGTTTTGTATATCCTGTGGGAAATTATAAGAGATGGTTGGGGCAATCAAGTGTAGCACCGTCTGTCTGGTCAGTCTTTAAGTTAACCTATGTTGATGAAATCAGGCCTTTTAAGGGGTTCCCAACATTCCATGCAACATGAGTCACAGAGGTACATGGGATGCCCAAGTTTAGGCTCTTCTTAGGACAGTGGGAATCTGATTGAGTTATGGGTGTTTTGTATCTGATGGGGAAACTGCTAGATTGAGTTTTCTTTTGGATCTGCACTTACCAAGGTGCCGAGGCTTTATATCTTCCATGGGCAGTAACTACATGCAGCTCTTCTTCACACTACACTGCCAAACATCGTCAGGGACTTGAGCTGTAACAGGTGTTAGAGTATAACACTGCACAACTGATTTTGGCAAACATCTCAGGGCTGAGGACTTGTCATTTTTCTGAGGTCACAGATAAGGTTTTGTACTGTTCTGTGAGGAAGAATAATGTGTTGTGTGTAGAGTGTTTCATTATCAGATGGAGGCAGAAAATTCCTTCTGGGGACTTAGAAGCTGCTGCTGTGTGGAAACATGCTGTGTGAACAACAGGCTGTGACCAACACATTAACTTGACATTTTCCTGCTATTGGGGTAAGACATTTATGAGAAAGTATGTATTTTTTCTTAAAAGCATAGCTACTTCATTCCTAAGCAATTTCAAAACTAATAGGTGTTTATACTACCTGTTTGATTGGGCTTTTGTATTTCTGGTAATGGGGATGTTTTTATTACAATCCATTATTACAATTTCTGTTTTATCATTTTTGCTCCAGATGTTTCTAGAAACTTTATTAGCAGACAAAGTTCATGTCTCAAAACAGATAAAGCCCAGGAACACAAACTGAATCAAGGAAGTATAACACACACTAGAGGGTGATGGCAGAAGGGAACTTCAGGGTAATTACTATAAAAGCAAGTAGTTGTTTAAGCTTTACACAATGTGGTGATCTTGAAGCATCTGTAAATTTGTTTTCATAAACAAATAACACCTGTTTCTCTTCATTTTGATATAACCTAACCTTTTGTAGTATTAAGGAAACTTCAGATGCATTCCTGAACAAGTTTTGATTTCTTCAAGGCAATAACCAGAAGTGAACATAGAAGGAGAATATGAAGGAGCAATAACCATGCTAAGATATTCCTGGAGAACATCCTTGATGACATTCAGATACAAGGACAAATATGCTCAAATTGAAGCAGCTTCTGCAGGAACATAGCCATGTGCTGATCAACATAATTTAATAAAGTGATTTGAAATGTGGCATGGGCATGAATGAAGAAACATCCCATTGCTGTTAGCATAAGGAGCTGGTCTGTGATGAAGAGGCATCTAGTTTGTAATTAGTTCTGCTACTAAGGTCTACAAACTCATAGCATTGAAAATTTTATTTCAAGCACTGTGTCTTTGGTAGCATGAACACTAGATTGATTGAAATGGTAAGTGAAAATGCAGTTATGGTTAACTGGAGAAAAGCTTTTTCAATGACCTTTCTCTTCTGCTTAATGGATCTCCTTGAGCTGCATTGTGGCTCAATCACAGTCCCATCAAATAACATACTCCAAAGCTGTGTTTTCAAGACAACTTGTCTCATGACTGGGCCTGAAGAAACAAGGGTCCCTTCTTGATGGTTTCAAGAAAATAATTCTCCCCAAAAGAGTTTGACAGAAAATTATTGAAAGGCAATATATCGTCACATCTACCACAGATTGCTCCAGGAAGAAATTGTATGTGTTAATAATTTTCATTTGAGAAGGCCTTTTGACAGTGGAATGAAAAAGGAATTTTAAAATTTTAGTGTATCTAACCCATCCTGTAAGATTCACATGAAAAGGTCAGTTTGTTTTTAAGGGTGTTAGTTATAATATATTTGGATTGTTGAGGATAGATTAATAAAACTTGCTATTTGAAATGGAAAATAAGTTGATCTTTATGTTCTGGGTCAAATTTTGTATGCAAAATCCTAACTGATCATTCTGGAGAATGATATTCATATTCACCTCTGTGTCTTCATGTACTAATGTAACCATTACATCACACTCTTTTGTATAACTAGCATGTTTAATGCACCTCAAAAATGCTTTCTCATGCCAACAGGTCCTTCAGCAAATGCACTCTGTACATTTCAGAAGTCAAAAGCAATTTGTTTAAATGACCTGCAACCTAACATGTTTTGTGCTGCTAGAAATCAGCAAGTCCACTCTCCAGCCCACAAAGCCAACACTGAAGTTTATTTTAGGAAAACATGGTTTGAGGACAGTATTTTAGTATGACTCATGATAGAGCAATGTGAAGATGTTTGACACTGTGGATGTGTATCCATTATGTGTGATTTCCTCTATGTGTGTTTGCATTAATAAAGACATTTTTCAAGTATTTTGTTTTTGCTTAATCAACTGACCAAATATTCTATAATATTGACAGACAAAATAGTTTATAAATCTTTCAATAGCTGGGAGAAGTCTCACAACCACTGTCACTTGTTCTTATGGAGGACTTCAATTTACCAGATATCTTCTGGATATACAACACAGCAGAGAGAAAACAATCCAGGATGTTTCTGGAATGTGTGGAAGGAACTTCCTGACACAGCTGGTGAGTGAGTCAAGGGAAGGTGCCCCCCTGAACCTGCTGTTTGTGAACAGAGAAGGACTGGTGAGTGATATGGTGATCTGGAGCTGTCATGTGCAGAGTGTATATTGCCCTTCTTTGGATTCACTCCAGCCCCTCAATGTCTTTCTTGTCATGAGAGACCCAGTACTGAACACAGCACTCCAGGTGTGGCCTCAGCAGTGCTGAGTACAGGGGGATAATCCTGTATATTCATTGTCCTGCTGGCCACACTATTGCTGATATGGGCCAGGATGTCACTGGCCTTCTTGGCCACTTGGCCACTGCTATGAATTGATGTGGGCCTTTTGCCCAGGCCTCTGGCTGTGGGCAGTAGCTTTATTGAGGTAGCCAGCACTCCAAAACCCACTCTTGTTTGCAAGTTCTTTTGTAATGGCTGATTTGGTCTATTATGGAATGAATTATTAATTTAATACACAGAAAACAGACATAAGACCTAAAACAAACTAAATACTACACAGGAATTAGGACAAAAAGGAAACTACTAGTAGATATATACAGCACAAGGTTAAAGGTACCTATTAGTTCTACAGCTAGTGAAGAAGTAATATAGCATAGGGTTCAAAGTGCCTTATGTTCCAGTTGTTGGTGGGGCACACATCGAGATCCTTTCCCTCAATCCCCAGGGGAGTAACCACAGAACCTGCGTCCAGACTCCGGAGAGAAGTCAGTGTGTGTGTAGAAGGCTTCTGCCTCCGTCACAATTTGCGTGTCTTGTATAGTTTGAAAAACACTGTATCTTAGTCAAGAATATTTCTTTTATCTCTTCCAACATCATCTCTCCAGACTATGATGTTGATTCTTAGCTGAGGTCTGAGCCCTTTTGGCACCAGAGATGAGCCCTTTCTAGGCCTTTCAGCCTAGGTTATCTCTTTATGCACCAGCTATCTGTGGTAGAGAGGGGAGGGGGGTAGAGGTCCTGCCACAGGCACACACTAGATCATGTTCGGCTGTTATCAACCAGCACTCCCAGGTTCTTTTCTACCAGGCAGCTTTCCAGCCACTCTGCCCCCAGCTTGCAGCTCTGCATGGGGTTGCTGTGACCCAAGGCTCACACCACTTGGCCTTATTGAACCTCAGACAATTGGTCTTGGCTCATTGATTGAGCCTGTCCATATCCCTTCCTACCCTTCAGCATATGAGCACTCCCAACTCAGTTTTATCTGCAAAGTGACTGAGGGTGCCTTTGATCCTCTCACCCAGATAATTGATAACTATATGCTGGGTACAGGACTGGAAGTAGATGGTCTGACAAAGTAAGTACTGTTATATATAAGGAAAGTTCTACAAATATCAAATATATACTGCAATGACCTTGCCAGGAAATCAAGGACAAGGTCAATGCTTCCCAGGTCACATATGACACTTTTCTGCATAATGCCATTTCCTTGGAAAGAGAAACTTCAAATGGCTGGCAAGTGGCTGAACTGAAAGTTACTGCGGACTGCTGAGCCCTGGTAAATCTGTATAGCTTTTGAGTGAAAAGGCACTGGGGAAGTCAGTTAGAAATGATGAGGCAAGAATTCCAGCTTGGAGACACCAGGGATAGAGGGAGGAAAGCTTTGTGGCCTATCTACTAAAGTAATGAAACCTCTCAGCTACTGCAATTTTTACTCTGAGGGGAAGGTGGGATACTGGCTAAGGGGAGGAATTGTTTGAAATTGAGGACCAGAGTAGGGAAGAGGTCGAGAGGATGGTTTTGTTATGGCTTTCTGCCAATTTTTCCTCTTGGATAGGAAGGTATGGAAAAGCCATGCTGACATGTGGGCAGTGTAAGAGTGCACATGGGCAGCGAGAGTGCAGCCACATGGTAGAAAAAATTGACATTAAAACTCAGTGTTATTTTCAGTGGCTTTTGTCTTCCCCCAGTAGCTCAAGTCAAACCCAGTCAAAATTACTATGTTGGAAATCCCTTAAAATAGCTCCAAAACTAAGAGACTATGTCAATTTATTGGGGAGAACTGCCCCATCCCTGTATTAGTTTCTATAAGAGTGTTACAAGTTACAGAATTTATATTTTTCTCCCCAGATCATTTAGATACTTCTTATTTAACATTAAACCTTTTTAATTCATAAGATTTGTCATAATGTGGGGCTTCTTTTTTTAAGTACAAGGAAAATCATAGCATCAGATTACTTATCTGAAGGTAACATCTGAAATAAACTGTATTACCAGGAATAAAGGCCCAATATAATTTTCCCTGGACATTTTTATTATGGATTTTCAAATGTTTCTGTTAGCAGAATTTAGTTCACTTTACCCTCATGGGAAATACATTAAAAATACTCTAAAGTGAGCAGAGAGTGAAGAATTTTTTTAATCTGGTAATTCAACATGATTGTCAAATAAGACATAGTGCAGAAAAAGGAGAAAATAAATATAATTGAAGTGACCATTTTACTTCTTTAAGCACAGATTTTCAGGTCAGATACCAAATGAATGAAATCTGTTTAGGATAGATTTAGTTTTAAGCTGAGATATGAAGCTGGTTTAAAGTTATTTTCCTCAAATATGGAAATTATGTCAAGAGGGTTGGGGCTTCCTATATAGGTTTTGATACTCTTTTCCTCATTGTCTTTTAAAAATTATTTTTATCATATATATACACACACACACATGTAGCAAGCACTTTTCTCTCTCAGGATTTTTCATAGAGGTGCAGCGAGAGAAAGAAAGAGGAAACAGTTTTTATTTCTGGTCCTTGTTTTTCTCATGTGGAATGTGTCTGGAGAATTGTTTTCCTGGGGTGATTGCTTGATTGGATTCTGGTGAGGATTGTTTGAGCCTGATGGCCAATCCAATCCACCTGTGTCTGGACTATGGCGAAAGGGTCATGACTGTGAGTTAGTTAGATATGGTAGTTAGAGAAAATAGGTAGGTAGTTTTAGTATCTTCCTTTATATAGTGTATTAATGTATTGTGGCACAGTTATAATAAATAAATCATTCAGCCTTCTGAACTGGAGTCACACATCATCATTTCTTCCCACTGGGTTCACCTGCATTTACAATACACACATACAACTTGGAAAAAGCCAATTGTCCTAGACATGAAAAGTTTTGTAAAATCTTACTGATAATATTTACTCACTTTACAGTATTAGAGTGATTGTCAATTAACGAATATTTGCAAATCACAACAATATACTCTGCTTCCCCCTTTGCAGCTTGATTTCTAGGCAAATTACAGCTGCTAAATAGCATATATATTATCATAAATTTGGTCATTTAGGCCATAAATTTACAGCCACCTTATTGTTTTTAATAACTATATATAAAATAATAGAAAACATTACTAATAAACAGTTATTGCAATGGTTGTATTCAGCATACATTCAACTCTTCAGTTCTCAGCAGAAGTGATGTTATGTCCAGATATCTTTCAGAGATTGGTTGGTGTTGAAAGATACCAGAAGTTATCAAACTGTTGAGTTGAATTTGGGGAGTGTTTTTTTATACAAAACCTATATCCCTGGTACAGACTCATAGAATTAAGCTTCATGGTGTTTAAGGTTGAGAGAGATTATCTAATCTCCTGACTATCACAGGCCATTAGGTATAAGACAGTGATTCTGCATTGAGACCTTTAGTTTCACTGAAACTTTTCTTTCAACCTAGTCCTGACTTGAAAAT